CCTGGCAGTGAGGGGCGAGATGGCAAGCGCGGCGCCCACGTGGAAGCATCCTCCATCCATGTCCCTTGCAGCCTGTGCGAATCCCGGGCTCCAGGGCACCTGTTCAGTGCTTGAGAAGCGTGGTCCTGGTCAGCAGGTCCGTGGCTCCTGTCAGTGTCTGACAAAGTGGTGACTGTCATCTTCTCGTTCCAGGTGAAACCTGTCAATGTTGGGGACACTGTCAGCTGGCATCAGGGTTGTTAGCTGAAGGACGCTCATTTCCCTGTCCTTAGCAACTTTGCAAAAGGGAATACACAGAGGCAAGTGTGCTGAGTCCTCTGTAGTCACCCTGTGATTGACGGGCCATCATATGTGGGCTTCTGGTGGGTGCGTCTGGACAGAGCACCTAAATGATGATGGGAGAACCGTGTGACCACAAGTCATGTGCAATAAAGAGAATCATGTTGTCTAATTAATTTGTGGTGCTTGTGTATGGTGCAGTGAAATTGATGATATGCTCTCACGTGTGTGTTGGTGGGCTATTGGGGCCCCTGTGGATATTCCTGGGTGCCAGGAAGTTTTCCTTCCATTTTGATGGGCATGAGATCAAGGGGTGGTTATTTGGGTGAGAAAATGAGATGCTGTGCTGGTCCTGGAGGGTTAGTAGGAGTTCAGAGGGCTCTGGTTGTTTTCGCTGTTCCTTTGATGGGGTGGTGGGGTCCCTAATATGTTAATGTGCATTCATAATTTGGAGCTTGCTCTGTTTCAACTGCCTGATGAGAATGTGGTATGTGTTCAGAAGTGTGGGTCAGACCAAGTGGTGATGGTCATCTTCTTGTTCTGTGTGAATATTGGAGATCAAGGGAAAGTGATGACTGTTTTTGTGAGACTGCAGGGTTTGATGTATTTCAAGGGAGTGAGAAGTAATGGGCATAAACTCAGGAGTTGGACTTAGATGTTTGCCATGTGATTTTTGTAATTTTTTTTAGTTTTTAGTTGTAGTTGGACATAATATTTCACTTATTCATTTTTTTTATGTGGTGCTGAGGATCAAACCCAGGGTCTTGCATGTGCAAGGCAAACGCTCTACCGCTGAGCCAAAACCTCAGCTCTGTTTTTTGTAATATTGTACTTGTTGTGGTCTTGTTGTATATATATTTTTCCCACGAACACACCCTGGGAAGTTTGGATGTATGTGTGTGTCCATATGGGCTATGTTAAGGAATGCATTTG